AAGCTACAATCAGAACCTGGCCTCAAGTCCTCCAGACTGGCCCATCATCAGCTTACTGAAATCACATCTCGCGCCTTATCCCTGGAATCATAAGCCGTCGATGCACAGTTGATACCAAGGGCTCATATGTGTATACGAATGCGTGGAAGGAATTCAAGAGTTACGCTTCAAGCTGAATCAATGTCGTACGATAAAGAAAGAAAGATGGGAAGTTTATCCTAAATGCCTTGTAGCCTCTCGAAGATAGGTATGGACGTCATCATACCAATCCGCAAGACTCTACTAGACACTTGCTCATGACTTGTAGAACCGAGGAACATAGAGCTCTGATACCAATCTGTCACGACCCAAATTTTACTAGTTGTGATGGCACCTAACCCAACCCGCTAGGTAAGACAACTAATAACTATCCAATTTCAATAATATTAATAGGGGAATTAAACAAAAGAATTATCTAAATCTTATACATTTTCCAAGGACTAGTAGTACAAATTACGAGCTTCTAAGAATAAAATTTACAAAGCTAATATGAAGTAAATACATCTTCTATTTCAAAAGTACATAAACAGAGTTTTATAAATCTACGGCTACCGTGAATAAGAGGCAGCTACAACCGAAACACATGTACATCTTCAAATCCAACTCCCATCGAACACAACAACCTCAACAGCCAACATCTGCACGCAATGTGCAGAAGTGTAGTATGAGTACAACCGACCCCTTATACTCCATAAGTAACAAACCTAAACTGAAAGTAGTGACGAACTGGAACAAACGTTGGGTCCAACACCAATAGCCAACAACAGTTCATAACAATGTAAGCGAATAACAAAGAAGTAATCTCGGAATTTAACTGCTTATCATTTTCATAATTCCCAAAAATAGTTCCACTTTTCGAGTATATCAGTGAAAATCTAAATCCTTTACCGAAATTATCGGGAAAAATATGAGATAGTTTGAAAACTGTAATTTTCCTCAAACACTTTTATCTAGTAAGTGTTTCGTTTTTAGATAGAAAGTGTAAAATATCTCTCTATACTCATATACCAACATGTGTGAGAAGTCATGAATGACATGATACCGGATAGTATGAGGAAAAATGCATCTCTATGCATGTATGTCATGTGTGCATGCTAATGCCATGTATCTCAGAGATGAATCATGTACTCATACTCTCAGAGTACTCAATCTCACTATCTCTTATTTCTCTCTTACCGTGCTCAATACTCAGCACACTCAATCACTCAACACTATGCAATACTCATTATGACATGCAACACGATCCATATATACATACATACATAATCCACTGCACTCACTAGGGGTGTTATATATATATATAGTCGACTACGCCCACTGGGGGTGCTAGACTCCGGGGGGAGGGGCTCCTATAGCCCGAACGCTATAATCCGCACGGACAACTCACATGTTGCACGGATAACTCACGTGCTATAACATCAATATCTATATCCACACGAACAACTCACAAGGTGCACGGATAACTCACGTGCTATAATATCAATAACCTCACAATTAGACGCTCGGCCTCACTCAGTCATCAATCTCTCTAATCTCTCTCTCTCTCGAGCTCACAATGACATGAAACTAGCTCAAAAATGATGATATGATGTATCAATAAATAACAACAGAGACTAAAAAATAATATGTATATGAATGCGTATGACTGAGTATATAAAGTAGTGAAAACAAATAATTCAACGGCAGAAATGACCTCAGTGGGTCCCAACACGATAAGCATGAAGCCTAGACATGGTATCTAACATGGATCACAGCTCAATAGCTCAAGTATGTAGAAATTTCATGATTATAGGTAAGATGAGGTAACTACATAGTACCACAGGAAGCGGAGTCACAAGTCACTTAGTGCACGCCCACACGCCCGTCACCTAGCATGTGCGTCACCTCAACATCAGTCACATAGCACGTAATTCGGGGTTTCATACCCTCAACACTAAGTTTAGAAGAGTTACTTACCTCAAACAAGCCAATTCAAATACCGAGCAAGTCAAGCGATGCTCCAAAAATGCCATCTCGCGCGCTCCGACCTCTGAATGGCTCGAAACTAACCAAAAGCAACTCAAATACATAAAACAGTACTAAAAGAACCAATCTCAATCGAAGAAGGTCGAATCTTTTATCAAAAAACCAAAATCGGCCAAAAAGCCCAACCCAAACCTATTTGAAACTCATCCGAGCCCCTCGGGACCCCGTTTGAACATACCAATAAGTCCCATATCCTAACGTGGACTTACTCGTGGCCTCAAAATACTCATAACAACATTGAAATGACGAATCACACCTCTATTCGAAATCAATAAACTTAAAACTTCCACAACCGATGCCGAAACCTATCAAATCATGTCCGATTGACCTCAAATTTTGCACACAAGTCACATTTGATATTACGGACTTGTTCCAACTTCTGGAATCAGAATCCGACACCGATATCAAAAAGTCCACTCCCGATCAAACTTTCCAAAATTTCAATTTTCGCCATTACAAGCCAAATTCTACTGCGGACCTCCAAATCACAATCTGGATGCGCTCCTAAGTCCAATATCATCCAATGAAGCTAACGGAACCATCAAAATTCCAATCCGAGGTCAAATACTAAAAAGTCAAACTTTGTCAAATCTTTCAAATTAAAAGCTTCTTGCTTAGAATCATTCCTCCAAATCAATTCCGAATAACCTGAAAACCAAAACCGACGATTCACATAAGTCATAATATATCATACAGAGTTACTCATGCCCAAAAACTACTGTGCGAAGTGCAATTTCTTAGAACGAACGATCGAGTTGTTACAGGAATTACTCTTCGTTCACTTTTACTTCTCCACTTTGGACTTTTCACATCCCTTAAAAAACAATAATTGTAGTATATATTTTACCATATAACCCCTAATAATGATAGCATTTCAAAGAGTCTTGGGGATTAAGTAGTTAATGATAAGGGTAAAATAAGAAAAAAGAAATTGTCTTTCTCTTGATTTAATATAGTGGACAAGTAAAAGTGAAAATATATTTTTAGTATAGCGGACAGGTAAAAGTGAATGGAGAGAGTGAAAATATATTTTTAGTATAGTGAACAGGTAAAAGTGAACGGAGGGAGTGAAAATGTATTTTTAGTATAATAAATAAGTAAAAGTGAAACTATATTTTTAGTATAGTGGACAAGTAGACTAGAATATATATTTTCATGCTATACACAAATGATGGTTCTTTCATTCGGTAAGACAGCTTTAACCACTCCTGTTTGTAACCACTTTTTGCTCTGGCAACAAAATTTTTATCTTTTCTATTGAGACTAGATACGGTCAGCCCGTGCTGAAGCACGAGCCCAACATTTCTAGTTGTGATATCCTTTTGTTTGTTCGTATTTTAGCTAGACATGAGGACAGAAATCACATTCATAATATAAGTAAATCTTTCGCATTCGAAGAGTCTTGGACCTAGGAATGGCAATGCGGCGGGGCGGGTGCGAGCTTAACCCGTAAAATTTCAACCCGCCCCGACCCGCATAGCAGTTTTTTCTATTTTCAACCCAACCCGCACTGCCCTGCAAAGACCCGCCTCGCCCCGTATTTTATTTTCATTTGTTATTTTTGCTGAAAAAGCACAAGTTTAATATTTTATTTTTTCAGTTTCTTAAATCCCTCATATCCAACTATTATATTTTTATTTTCAGAAATTATAATAGAAAATATAACTTTGCAGAGTTCGCCATTCTCCTGCTTATCTCATGCTGGTAATTAAATATATATATATATTCATTCTTACAAAACTTTATTATTTTTGTTTTCGTTGTTTGTTCTATTAACAGCGCATTAATTAATTCACTATAGGTTGCATAGATAGTGGTGCATAATGGAGAAAACGAAAGACGAGAGCAATGGTAGGGATGATAAGAGCTTGTACCAAAACCGTTTCGCGTGGGAAAAAGCTCTCAAGGAATGCTAAAAACAATTCTAAGAGCCCGTTTAGCTTAGCTGATTTAGAGTAGCTGATAAGCATTAGGTGCTGAAAAACACTTTTAAGTGCTGAACTGATTTAAAAAATAAGCAGTTACATGTTTGGATAAAAGTGATAAAATTAATAATAAGCAGCTGAAGAACTGGATATACGAAGAGTTTTATTTAAAAAAAAAATATTTTAGGGATAGAATAGTAAATATTTTGGTCAAACCTAAAGTGCTTATAAGCTGAAATTTGATAAGTTGGGAGAGACCAACTTATGGCTTTTAGCTTATTTTTGGCTTATAAGCACTTAAATTATAAGCACTTTTAATTTTACCAAACGTGTAAATAAGCCAAAAAGTGCTTATAAACCAGTTTGACCAGCTTATAAGCTTAGCCAAACACTCTCTAATTCCATTAAACCCCTTCCTATTTTCACCAAGCTCGCCTATATTTTAGGCCTCCGCGTTTCTCCTTCCAGAGTAAACCCGCAAGGAACCGCAATGGAACCCGTAACCGCCCCGCATTAGATTTTGAAAAATCAATTTCAACCCGCCTCGCACCCCGCCCCACCCCTCATCAAACCCGCCCTGCCCCGCATACGATCAAACCCGCATCGCCCCGCATCCACACTGCCCCATTGCATGCCATCCCTACTTGGAACTGCATATACGAAAAACCGTTCTTAATTTTCAGCCTCTCTCTCATTTCTGAGACTCTTCCTTGATTACAGGGGCAATGGAGAAATCATAAAGCTTTCCAAGAAGGCTCGAATAATCTAGGATAGGATGACCGTGCATCACTGGTGCCCAATAATTTATTATTGGTGTTTTCTTAATTCATGTACTTTTTGTATGCTAGTTTACATGACAAACTTGTTTGAATGTACAACCTATATCATACAGGGAGTAAGTGAAGGTTAGAATAGCAACATCACAAGAAATAATTGGACATGAAGCTGAGTTTGATTGATATAAAAATGTAAAGAATACAATATACAAATGCTTAAAAAACTCACAACACATCAATTGCAAAACATCTCAATACATGGAAACAATCTTTACAAAATCAGCAAAACTTGCAGTGGAACTCCTAAGAAATAAAGAAGACAGAAAAAGGAATCAAAATGTGACCAGTGAGACACAAAAATTTGAGCAACACAAGAATATGTCAGCCAGCTGTGGTCTCGTTAAACAAAGCAGGAACATTGCAACTTCACACAACGTTGAGGTGAGAGAATTAACCACTACAGAAGTGAAGCTTTATTTGGTCTACTCAGTTCGCCAACACATTCAAAATTTACCAACGGAGGGCACACACAAAGGGAGCCTAAAGATTTGAGCTTTCACATCCTGATAATCGTTTTGCTTCTCCAACAAAATCAATTGCAGAACACCAAGCCGCATTCTTCATTTATTTAGCTGAAGCTGGCATTAGTTCCAAATGCCAAGGTACTCAATCTCCACATTTTGTTGTATTCTCTCATGATGTTGACATGTATTACCCAAATAGAGATTAATTTATGGGTTAAAGTAAAGTTGTTACTGCCAAATCAATTCATCACAGTCAAGCCTTTTATATATTTGGCTTGTTTGTTGTCTATATTTTCTAAGCATTATTGTCAGAAAGTACTATACTACTGTTAGTTTTAATTTTTCAAGTGTGCTTTTTATGGATGTGCCTCATTATAGATAACTTCTATGAAAATAAACCAACAATGTCTCCAGAATTTCTAAGAGTAGAGTTTAATTTGCTTTAATATATTGGGACAACTATAAGATTTTCAAGTAGTCCACGTACAGAAGATGCTTATTTTGAAAAAGTTTATAGACTTTTAATGGATTGGTGTCGTGATTTTTGAGAAAAGCTTTAGTAGTTGCTCTCTCCCTTTATGTATCAGTTAGATACATACTGCAGTATAACATCATTATGCTTCTTAATTCTCACTTTCCATGTACTCCTCTAATTCTCTCTCTCCTTCCCTACTCTCTACAACTCTCTTTTCTCCTTTGGTACTTCGAAGTGTCATTTAGCTTTGGGCAAGTAGGAAGAGTTCGAGACTCAGATAACTTGAAGGCAAAGCTACCAATTTCTATTTCGAATAATCAACAACAATCTAGATTCCTATGCGAAAAATAAAATTTAATACATATATTAACAAATATCAGTAGCCAATAACTTTTTATCTAGCAATTGTGAGAAGTGATACATCTTTGACTTTTCATGTTGTTTCTATTTTTGCATTGCTGTTGGTCGCTTCGTCTCTTCATATTAGTACTGGAGTGAAGGAAAATGATGACACAGGAGAATAAAGGAGCAAACATTTACTTCAAACTCTATAAGCAAGATGTCACTCCACTCACCCAAGTATATAAAAGAAGGAAAATGCTTAAAATCCCATAACCATTAAATTTAACTTAAGTTTGTAAGTACTTAGGCTTTGATTCAAAATATTATTTTATGCTCAATATTGTTATAGTCTAGTTGAAAATAAATCATTCAAGTTTAATATATTTATATTGTTCTAGAGAGGCAATAGTAACATTCTATGGATCATGTCTTCCTTAGTTTCCTGCTAAAATCACTAAATGAATATCAGATCTCTGATTTTCTTGAATTAATGTATTGTGTAAAATATAAAAATACTATATAGATAAAGCAACGATAAAATTCCTCCCTTTAATTACTTAAGACAATGAGGCAATCAAAAATGAAGGATACCCAAAAAAGAAACTAAAGTTTCAAGGTCTCTATCTTACGCATTAAAATATTTCTTTCCTTGTCAAAAAAGATCTACTATATGCCAATACTATTGTTATAGTGAGAGGGTTGTCCAGCTATATATGATCTAATCTCCTTGGTTTTCTCTTGTCAGTATCCAATGCATAGCAGAAATAAGATAATTTTTTTTATTTTCATATCCAACAAAAATATTGAAATAAATGAACACTCACACAACTCAAACTTGACAGAGAGAATGATCTCTATATCCTTATTTATGTATTTTCCTGTTCAACCACTATACTTCTAGTAACAAAGGCATTTTCACTGAAAAGGAAAAAATAAAAAAAGAAATGATTGTGCTATCGCGGAATGATCAAAATGTAACCAGCTATATGAAAATTTTCATTTATTTATCTCCCTAAGAAAGTAATATAGATTTGAAGATAACAAGCTCTCTTCTTAGAAATACGTATATCGCGGCTATAATGGAGCTCATTAAAAATACCAAGTACTGTACTATAAAAACAGAACCAAAAGGATAGCAGTTAAGGATTACTAATTGCTAATATGAACTGCACTTACTAAATTCTAACAAAATCATGTAGCCAACCAGAGGAATTGTTATATATCCAAGGAATTATGAATTGTCAACCTTTTTTTCCCCTTTAGTTCTATTTCCCATATATTTCCACACAATGTAATTAGGCCACCAATAGCAACAGATCTGCCTGCATGATCTATCTGCATTAAACTTTACCTGTCCTGTCATAGTTAAATTAAACTTAACCTTTCCTGCCATAAGCAGATGTTAGCTCTGAAACAGGCTTTGGTTCTTTCCTCCGGTAACACCATGAATAAAGTACCACAGCAGTAGTCATTAAGTTGACCCACTAAGTCTCCCATGAGAAGTTCACATACATAAATTTCCTATTAAAAAAAGTGGGATCATCCAAAACATCAGCTTTCAAAAACCAGCATCCCCGCATAATTTCATATTGTTATATCATAATACATTACATATATATTTTTTATTTATCTTGACAAAGCAAGCATAGAGAGCCAAAATAGGCAAATATAAGAAATATTTGCATGAAATCCTAAAGTCATTTCTAGTACATCAATGTTTAGTGTTACCGTTTCAGTATGAGATGTGAAGTAGTATGGAGAAGGAGAAGGGAGGACTCGAAACTATATTAGGTTATTTTAATATCTAATTAAAAGCTTTACCTAAAGCAAAAACAAAAAGGAAGAAGAAAACCATTATTTAAAAATGTTGCCAATTTTGAAATGCAACAATAGAACTATTGATCTATTCTGCTAAAGAAATTAATGGGAACAACTCATTAAAGAACAAAGGCAAATATACAGTATAAGCATAATATACTGATGAAAGAACCTTCGTGAAATTGCAAGAAAACATACTTAATTCACATAATCAAATTAGAGCAAATAAAGCCTGATTAAAGATAGTAAACTGATGTTTTCCAATAATTGAGACCACCAACAAAGAACTGTAAACTTCTTAATTGAACCCTTTGATGGTAAATCTGGCTTCTTTATTTTTGCTTTCTTGAGCTTACGATACCTACGACAAACTCAAATTATCAAAAACCAACACATGCATGAATTTCGTTGCAGAAATTGGAAGAGAAAAAACCCACAACCTACCTTTTTTACGGCATCAAGGCCATCAAAAAAATAACAGTTTAAAAGAGTGACGAATAAAGAGAAGCAACCAACAAAACATATAGATCTGACATTGAATGACTGAAGAACAAAAAGATGCATAGAAGAAAGTTGAAGAACTCACCAAAGCAGGGATGGAGTAGCGAAGGAAAATTGCAGCAGAGGTAAGAGAATTGCAGAGACGAAAGTGCTATTAATGTTGTGCAGATGTAAAGTGCTACAGGTGGTTCTATAAAGAGAAGTGGAATCCAGGTGTCTATTCACCAATCAAATAGGGTAAAGTTTATAGTACAATCTACAACACATTTTGTACAACAATTTATTGCCGTGTTCGACTGTTCCTACTCCACAAAGTCCCATTTCTATATATATTAGTAATATGTAAGTTTTGATAATTAACCAACAAATGAAGATAATGAGATTGTGTGTGATGGACTGGGACTTGGGAAGTAATTTAGACGTGGTTGCATTGTGCCATCATGTCTGTCTTGCGTGAGAAGAATCTTATAGGGATTTCTATTCATAACTGATTATGGTAATTGTTTCAATTTTCATCTTTAGGAGTTTGATTTTTTACTTGGAGGATAGGTGCAAATAGGAGTGGCAAACGGGTGGGTCGGGTCGGATATAGTTCGGGTCGAAAACGGGTAATGAAAAAATGAAAAAATTATTCGGCCTGACTCGTATTTAATATGTATAAAAAAAGGGTTAACCGGCGGATAATATGGGTAACTATAGTATCTATGACTTCTTGCATATGATCATTTTGGGAGAAATCTTTGTCTCCCAAACTTGAGGAACCCCGAATTTGACGCTTTACAAATGTAAAAGTTAAACCCATTAGTTATTCATTGGTTATTCATTTTTTAAATGGATAATATGGTTCTTATCCATATTTGACCCGTTTTTAAAAAGTTCATTATCCAGCCCATTTTTGGTGACTTTTAACCAATTTGCCACCACCAGGTGCAAAGATAGGTCGAAATAACTCATGAATATGTGATTAGAGTTTGTGGTACTTTAATTTGGTAGCAGTATAGATGTCCAGGATTCTGTTCTTGAGTCTAATATAGAACTCTAAACTGTAGCTAACAGTTAGCTACTTGGTTGTTGTATAACCGTTCCAGAGGTGAATAACAGGAAGAATTGATCCTTCATGTTCTGATATCAGTCTTGTTTCAATGCTAGCAAAGCAACACAAATTTAAGGAGGGTTCGATCGAAACGTGTAATTGAAGAATGAAACAGCTGCAGTCAACTTCAGACAAAAACTTCAACCAAAAAGTGAAACTTCATAAAAAAACTTCAGGCAAAAAGTGAAACTTCAGAGTCATACCCATATGTCTAAACTATTTTGAAGTCTGAAGTTTAATTTTGAAACGGCTAGACTTTAAATTTCTTTTATAAATTTTGACTGTCTCTTAAATAGGGATGTAAAAACGAATATATGTGAACCCTTCCCTTGCTCACCTTAGGGGTTTAAAAAATTGAAGAAATATGATCCTTTTTATGGTCTTTAACTTTTGAACTTGCTTGCCCTATGATTAGAATTTGAAGGTTAAAAGTTAAAAGTGTTGTTCATGAGGCAAACAAGGGCAACAGAAGTTGTGGCAATGAGATAAGGAGTAACAAAAGTTCAAGACCATCAACTTTGAGGGTTATTTGTGTACTTCATCCTAGGGGTTTAGGTCCGTTAAGGGGCTGGTCAGAAACCAGGCCTCAGCGCAAAGAAAAATGAGAAGATGACCTTCTATAACCCCTCAAAATTTTAATAGCCCATATTTTTTCTCATTGACACAAAATATCCCTCCAGCCCAAACACATTATATCTAATAGCCCAAAATGTCTATTTTGTATATTTTTATATAGTGATAGAATCTATTTTGTATATTTTTTATATGGTGATAGTCTATTTTGTATATATTTTGTATACTGATAGTCTATTTAGTATATTTTCGGTGTAGTGACAGTCTATTGTATATAAATTGTACAGTGACGGTTTATTTTGTATAGTGACATCTATTTTGTATATTTTTTGTATAGTGACAATCTTTTTTGTATATATTTTGTATAGTGACATCTATTGTGTATATTTTTTGTATGGTGACAGTCTTTTTGTATATATTTTATATAGTGACATCTATTTTGTATATTTTTTGTATAGTGACAGTTTATTTAGTATATAAATTGTATAGTGACAGTCTATTTTGCATATTTTTGTATAGTGACAGTCTATTTGTATATTTTTTGTATAGTGATAGTCTTTTTTATATATTGAATGACTACGATGTGTAAAAAATATATATACATTTTGTAGTAGTGTGCACATGAACTGTAGTATAGTAAAATATTTCAAAGCTTCTAGCTTTGTTGTATCGAAATTGTATATTTTTTGTGTAAATTATAGGAATTTTACCTCCTATAGCAAAGGTTAATATCTTATTTATTTTAAATAAATACCATTTAAAAAAATTATATTCTATAGATACCTTTTAATGTTTATAGCAAAATACCTAATTTTAGTTACCTCCTACCCCTAAGCCACTAAATACGCTATTCAGTTACACTATTTTCTTTCTCTGTCTACTTTGATACATGTCATTCTCTTCCCCTATTCCCTGAAAACACGATGCTCAGTCTCAAAATTCCTCTCAACCACATCACCTACCATTAATCACAAACGGTGATTTTGCCTGGTATACCACGAAGACTTCTCTGACTTTTTCCCTCAATTTTGTGCAACCCAAATGGAATCCAAAGGAGATGAAGCCTCCAAATTTGTATGATTTTTTCGGCTACTATACAGAATGCGTGGGAACAGTGTACGATTTTTGCTAGATGGAATCCAAAGGAGATGAAGTGTATGAAAAACGTGGGAACAATGTATGAATTTTGTGCAACCCAAATGGAACCCAAAGGAGATTAAGCCAGAAAAATTTGTATGATTTTCAATACAAGATTCAAGCTTTAACGTCTTGCCATGAGTTTTGCTCGGCTACTGTACAGGATGCGTAGGAACAGTGAGATTCAGGGTTTTTGCTCGACGGTGGATTCGGCGAAAATTAAGGTTTGTTCTTGAACAAAGACGACTGATTTTGGGGCTGAGCAACTTAATTTTCTGTTAATATATTTCAATGTATTTTCAACATATCACGCTGTATTTTCATGTATTTCATTGTATTCATTGTCTTTTTTTATTGTAATTCAATGTATCTCGCTGTATTTCATGTATTTCATTGTATTCACTCTCTTTTTTTTCATTGTATTTCAATGTATCCCGTTGTATTCTATGTATTTCATTGTATTCAATGTCTCTCTATATGCCATGAATGTATTCATATATTTTTTTCAATTAATATAATTTATGTATTCAGATGTATTATATAATTTCTCTGAAGATTGCTATGTTTTTGGGATATCTTTCGGTTGAGAATCTCATTTATAACTGGAAATACAAATTTTGTGTGTTATAATTGAGTTTGTTGAGTTATATTAGGAGTCTATTATGTTAATTGATTCACTTTCCATTTAAAAACAGTGTAATCCCCTGTTTCACGTTGTGAATACAATCGAATACAATTGAATACAATAATCTGTCCAGCTGTAATCCCATGTGTTCACGCCATGAATACAATCAAATATACTCGAATACAACAACTGATTAGCTGGATTCCCTGATTCACGCCTATTTTTGCTACTGTATTCATGAATACAGTAGCTTAAATACATCTAGTACATCTTATAACAACAGAAAATGTATCTACAATTCGTAGTATAACAAATGGTATCTATAGATAGCTAATTACCACTAAAAGATAGTGCTTTATGAAAATTTCCCTAAATTATATTATATGTTGTATATCTTTTGTATAGTGAGATTTGTGGTTGTATATTTTTTTTGCATAGTGATCGTATATAGTTTGAATATAATTTAATCGCTTTAATTTCGATAAAGCGGAGAGGTAGTGATTATACAAAGGGGCATTTGTATCTATACCCGCTTTTTGTGTCACGTTTTCACTTGTGCCCGCTTTGCAAAAAAATATTGCAAGCATACCCGCTATAACTTCAGCATACGGGGCTGAAGCAGCAAATGCAATCACGTAAAACTTCAGTATTCTAGTAGACGGGCCTGAAGTAGCAAGTGTGCTGAACCAAGTGTGCTGAAGTTTTTGTTTTGTAACTGGCGAATTTCAGCTCTAGAGCTGAAGTTTTTGTTTTTGTAACTGGCGAACTTCATCTCAAGAGCTGAAGTTTTTGTTTTGTAACTGTCGAACTTCAACTCTAGAGCTGAAGTTTTTGTTTTGTAACTGTCGAACTTCAACTCTAGAGCTGAAGTTATTTAGTTCATTTGTAAAAATTTCAGCACTATTTATGTTTATTTGGGATCTTGGTCATATGTATTTTGTTTGTAATTTATGCAACATGAAAAGAAAACGAGAGTATGCACAAATTTAATAACTCATCATCATTCACTGATCAGTAAAGTCATCAATTTCAACAAAAATCTTGCAACAACAAAAATCTTGCAACTGAAACTAACGTGCATGTGAACTAATTGGTTACATCAATAAGTAACGTAGTCTCAATTTACTATTACATAGCTTTGAAAGAAGAAAAAAGGGAATAATAATACAAGGGTCAAAATACAGATGACCAAGATCCCAAACATACATATACACCAAGAATCTACTCATCTAATATAGTTACAGCTAGTTATTTAATTCATTTGTAATTATTTATAATTTATTTTTAAATAATCTGATAAACATATTTATGACAATCATCCCATGAACTGAAGTTCCATAGCAGCACCAACAACAACAGAAGAAAGAAGAAGAAGAAGAGGAAAACGAAGGAGGAGAAGGAGGAGGAGAAAGGGGGCTGAAGTTATTTAAAAAGTGGGTACAAGTTAAAAGATTAAAAAAATAGGTATAAGTTAAATGAGGGCAACCAAATAAGGCGCCCCGTGCAACTTTTACTTATACAAGTGCTCCCAATTATAGTGTTTTGTAAAATTTTAATTATCCATTAATCACTTACAGCACGGGCACATGTTGGATTCCTATAGGAAAAGGCACGAATCAATTTCTTGGCATTATCTTTTTCAAAGTTTGAATTTAAATGCTATACCAATGCGTATATAAAGTATGTTATGTCCCAAATATGTATAATTATTGGGTACGACACCTGTCCCTTTTGTCCCTTCCATGAGTTGACAAAAATAA